GCATCTACCCATTCAGTCACCACATAGAATGCTATCAGATTAGTCATTATGATTTCCCTTTGGTAAATCCATGCTGACTAGTCCTGAGAACCTTCTCTTCTGTGTGCTTAGAGGTGACCTCCAGAATGACCCACTCCACCATTTTTCCAGGCATGGAGGTGAGGCTGACTGGTATGTAGCTTCCCAGATCTTCCTTCTTGCCCTTTTTGAAGACTGGAGTGACATTGGCTTTCCTCCAGTCCTCAGGTATCTCTCCCCTTTGCCATGACCTAGCAAAAATGATGGAGAGTGGTAGAGTGGCAACATCAGCCAGTGCTCTCCCTACTCTTGGGTGCATCTCATCAGGGCCCATGGACTTGTGTATATTCAGTTTCCTTAACTGATCTTAAGGACAGAAGCAAAGGTGGCATTTGGCAGCTCTGCATTCTCTGCACCCTCGGTGATCAGGGCTGTGCCTCACTGGGCCCACACTTCCCCAGGGAAGAGGGAAGGAAGCCTCTACAGAGAGACCTGGATGGGCTGAATCAATGGATCAAGGCCAGGGGTATGAGGTTTGACAAGACCAAGTGCCAGGTCCTGCACTTGGGTCACAAGAACCCCATGCAACGCTACAGGCCTGGGGAAGAGTGGCTGGAAAAGCTGCCTAGTAAAAAAGGCCCTGGGTGTGTTGGTTGACAGCTGGCTGAATGTGAACCAGCAGTGTGCCCAGGTGGCCAAGAAGGCCAACAGGATGCTGGCCTGGATCAGAAATAGAGTGGCCATCAGAACTAGGGACATGATCATTCCCCCCTACTCAGCACTGGTGATGCTGCACCTTGAGTACTGTGCTTTGGGCCCCTCACTACAAAGACTCTGAGGGTGACGGGGTGTGTCTGAGGAAGGGCAGTGAAGCTGGTGAAGGATCTAGAGCACAAGTCTTAGCAGGAGCAGCTGAGGGAACTGGGATTGTTTATCCTGGAGAAAAGGAGATTGAGGGGAGACCTCATCACCTTCTACAACTACCTGAAGGGAGGTTGTAGTGAGGTGTGGGTTGTTTTTTTTCTCTCAAGTAACAAGAGAACAGGAGAAGAGGAAATGGCCTCAAATTGCATCAGGGGATGTTTTAGTTGGGTATTAGAGAAAAACGGATAGAAAACTAGAGAAAACTAATTTCTTCATAAAAAAAGGTTGTGAAAAACTGGAACAGGCTGCCCAGGCAGTTGATAGAGTCCCCATCCCTGCATGTGTTTAAAAGATGTGTAGTTGATGTGCTTAGTGACATCATTTAGTGATGGACTTGGTCATGTTAGGTTAGTGGTTGGACTTCATGATATTAAAGGTCTTTTCCAACCAAAATGTTCTATGATTCTCTGACTAGTTGAAATAGTTGGAACAGTGGCAGTGCTTCTGGGGGACTTCTTCAGCATTTGTATCAGCTTGGTTGTTGAGGAGGTACATGCATGAAAATGATAGCTTGAGTTGACCTGAGCGTTCTGATGTGTAGGTGCTTTCATCTGTATAATTTCAGGAGGGTATTTCATACATTTGGACGAAGCATAGTTATATTTTGAAGCGCATGTATCCATATCTGTCGATATGGTAGGAAGGTGTGTGCTTGAAATGCAGAACAGACCTGCCCCATTCCAGCCCTGGTAGAATCCTTGGCAGTGTGCACAGCTGAGCTGAGCTCGGGGAATAACTGTTCTATAATCTGGGATGCCCTTGTCAGCATCTTGCTCCTGAGTGCATTCCAGAAAGCCAGCTGTGCAGTAGTTGTGTACTAGAAATTTGTGCTGACCTGAAGCCCCTAGTGTTGTAAACTGAAGCATATATTTTTAAAGATGGAGCTTGCAGGGTTATTAGAATAAAATAAAGATTAAGATGAATGTAAAGCCTTTCTGCTGCCTGGCCAGCAGTGCTTTCTCTGTGTAGAAGGTCTGTGGGATCTGTGTAGGATGAAGACATGAAGGCAGTAGCTCTGTGGTGCAGTGACTGGTGTATAGTGGTGTTGGGGCTTGCAGCTCACTGGGATGGTGGGCTCTGAAACCTGGGGCATGCCTCTGAGTACACATGAGGCACTAGCTGGGAAGAGCAGTCAAAAACCATGGTCTCCCAGCACCCAGATTCAGTAGAGGATTATCAGAAAAGGATTATAAGTCTTCAGTGGAAGTCTCACAGATTATCTTTCTTGTTTCACCAGCTCTATGAAGTCTGTAAACAGTAGTCATAACTGATCAGTGCTCTCTGGAACCATGTTTTTCTTTCATGGGTTGTCATTCAGAAAGGAGCAGGTTGTCCTCAGTTAATAATGTAAGACAGTGATGAGAGTGGGCTTCACTGGGACTCCGGCCCCTGTCCCATGAGTGCCCACAATTCGGATTGTGATTGCTGACTATAACACTGGCACTGGGGGCTTTAGGAGAGTTAAGGGAAATTTTTTTCTGATTTCACAGAGTGAATCAGAGTGAATGGATAAGCAGAGTGCGTGCATGGGTAGCGTGTGGTGGGACTGAACTGGAGCCCTCCCTGTCTGTCATCTCCAGCGTGCCCACTGATACCGTAACTTTCATATGGTGCACTAGTGTTCTCTGTTTTGCATGTCCTCCTTACAGCTGGGATTTTGCTTTTTGCTGGTCAACCATGAGGATGACATTCCCAGAAGAAATGGAAATGGTACCAGGATGTACCCGTGTACAAACGTAGTAAACTGTACAATTATGTTCTTTTGATACAGTTAAAATAATTAACAATTGAGGAAACTTAGCAGATGTGCGACTTCTCAGTCTTTATTACTTTGTAGAAATTCACTGTGTTCTTGAGCACATAGTGTTTGGTGAAATAGGTATTTTGGCAAAAGGATTTGGGAGGAAAATAATGTTGTCTGGAAAGACAGACTGCAAATTAGTAACAGCATCAGCCTTATTGTAAGCATATGCTTCAGTGCTTGAAAGCGCTTTCTGCTTTTAATATGAATCCTGAAGCATGGCAGTTATCCTAAAAGTGTGAGAAGGTGTGTATTTAACATCTTATCTCCCTTGGATATTACTATTTTTATAAGAAGCCTAACAGTGTAAAGCCATGAAGTAGTTTGATTAAAATCATTAGGTAGTATTGACTGTACTGAGCCTTGATTTTTTTTTTTTTTTTAAGGACCTGCAATAAATGAAAAAATATTGCTTCATAGAAATCTGCATGTGCAGACTAACAAAATGCAGGCAGGTAGCAGTCAGTTGGCTTCTGGCACATGTGAGAAATGAAGAGAATATTTTAGCTCACGTATGTAGGTTACCTGTACTCTTGGCAAGCCACTGAAAACAGGTATACTTCTAAATTTGTGTATTAGTTCTGTTAGACTAAAAAAACCAAATGTACCTGAATGTTGAATTTAGAACTGACTTAATGTGCCTTCTTGTAGGTGGTTTTGCTTTTGTCTACGAAGCTCAAGATCTTGGAAGCGGCAAAGATTATGCTTTAAAGGTAAAATGAATTTATTTCACTAAACATTTATAAGACCTGTCCTTTTGCTTGATGCATTGCATGGCAGTTAATCCTGGTATGCTGATGAGTGAGTCATTTGGAAAAGTCTACCATGATAAAGTGGTGTTCATTGGACGCTGCACCTGTACTTAGAGAGGTTATTCCTCTTAGGACCCTGCACTTTATACTTGGATGCCAAAGATGGCAGTTGCTCTTGCAGGTACTACTGCTGTTTATCTTCATTTGGTCCAGTAATTCATGACCCTGCCTTGGGCCTATTTTTTGCCTGGGTAAAGAGAGTCTTTCCTGGTTACCTGAAGTGAGGTACAGGAATATTTTCACTCCTTAGAAGCTTATTTAGCCTATTGGTTATCCTTGGTTTGTACTTCCAGAATAAATTTAGTAATAATGCTTCACACCAACTCATTGATCAACTTTCAGCCTGGCACTTCTCAGGGGTGATCCTCTAGATTCTTATTTTCCAAAGGCTTATCATAATCATGTAACAGCTGAAAAGCTGAAGTGTTATGGAAAGGACAATAAAGTGAAGTAATTTACTTTGGCATATTTTGCTGTAGGAAGAGTCATGTCACTTGTGTTCACCACAAAATGGCTTCATTTTTGGACTAGGGAAGTGCTGTGGCTGTATTAGTACCAATCTTGGAGAGAATGAGAAGGGTGGTGGTATGAGAGGTAGGAGAAGTAAGATGACCTTACACCACCAATAATTACTTGGTCATTTATTTCCTTTTCATACTGCATGCTGCAGTAACAATATGTGACCAAACCTGTATATGTGCGTGTTCAAAATATCTAGAAGTAGACCCATTTAAAAATAACTGATAAAAGGTGAACCATTATTGTACATTTTCTGTTCTGTAAAACTGGTACTGTAGCAAATACTCAGATTGGTTCTAGTCAAATATTGACTTCCAAATCCATTTGGAAATTCCAGTGCTTGATTTTGCTGCTGATTAATCAAGTTCTATTGAAGGAGTTGGGCTACATAATTTGGAGAAGTTTTAGAGTGGGTTGAGGATTGTTCCTAAAGATTTGAGGCAGAAGATTAACTTTGCCTTGTCAGGGCACAATGTTGTAGCCAGGGGACTTTAGTTTTCTATACAACGAAAATTGTCAGTTACTTTCAGTGTTAAAGGTGACAATTGCTCTGTTATCACTAAACCTGAACAGTACAGGTACCTGAAGAATTTGATGTTGTATTTATACCAGTATGTCCAAATGTGTAATAAGTACCATTTTGTTTACTGTCTTGCTACAGTTCCTTAATATTTTGATGGTAGTTTATCCCCTGTGTTCTGGAAAAAAAAAATCCATGCACTGTTTTTCTGTATGTTCTAATAATTATATAAATTATTCTGTCTTCTGACAGCGATTATTGTCTAATGAAGAAGAAAAGAACAAAGCCATTATTCAGGAAGTTTGTTTTATGGTATCCTTTTTCTGGAGCATATTTTAATTTTTTGATTTAGTGGCTTGATATTAAAGATTTATGAGAAACGGATGACTGCTGTAGATATTTTTTTTTTTTCTCATGCCCTGCGCCGCTTGAGAGGACTGACATTTTGAGGAAGGTTCCTGGTTTGTTTTGAATATGGCACCAACATCCAGCAAGCTCTGTTCTTCAAAAATTACAGGAATTTAATGTGTGTAGATAAATTCTGTAGCTAGTGTAGTCTTTGTCATGTACTTTGTCTAGCAAGAAGTGAAATTCTTATTTTTACAATCCTGTGACTGTGGTCAAGAGACCTTTTCACTGTCCAGATGGTACTTGGGTCTTAAGCAGACTTCCCACCCCAGCACTTCACTTGCCAGGAGTAAAGAAATGAATATTCTTCATATGCTTTTTCACAGCTCAGGCTTGTAAAAGCATGTGTACAACGTGAGTGAGGGTTAACTGTTCCTTTCAGAGATACTCGATCTCGGGAGTTGTTCAAGACCAGGCTGTGCGGGGCCTTGCGTAAACTGGTCTTGTGGGAGGTGTCCCTGCCCATGGCAGGGGGGTTGGAACTAGATGATCTTTAAGGTCCCTTCCAACTCAAAAGGGTTTGTGGAAATGTGAAATGAAATTAATTCCTGTTGCTCTGAGTAAAGGGTTGTGAAGAAATGTGTAAGATATAAAATAAATGCCTGCAAACTGTTGTATAAAAATAATATCAATAAGATGACAGTCATCTTCCTTGAAAATATTATCTCCAGAAAAAACTTTCAGGTCATCCCAACATTGTCCAGTTCTGCTCTGCTGCTTCTATAGGAAAAGAAGAATCAGACACGGGACAGGGAGAGTTTCTTCTGCTTACAGAGCTGTGTAAAGGTAAGCTATTTTCCCTGCAGTACTGTTCTTTGAGACTACAGGTCAACCTTATCTTAAATATAGGATAATCATTAAGTTTGTTGTGTTTGAGACTAGTCAGAGAAATAGTTCCTTAGAGCGCCATTTAATTTAGTACTGCAATCAGTGTGGACCTGCCATTTTTAGAATATCCATCTAATATTACAGCTCAAGACTATAAGTCTTCCTTGGTAAGAAGAGTGTTTGTCTGTTTGTGCCAGGGTTTCAGAATTTGTGGTTTTCTATGTGTGGTTTCTCTGATTTCCTGCAGGACAGCTGGTGGAATTCTTAAAGAAAGTAGAATCCAAAGGACCAGTCTCCTGTGACACAGTTTTGAAGATCTTTTATCAGACCTGCAGAGCAGTGCAGCACATGCACAAACAGAAGCCTCCTATTATCCATAGAGATCTGAAGGTGTGTTAGTGTTGTTGAAAAATTCAGCCTGTATTTAAACAGAGGGGCATGTCAGGCTGCATCAGTCAATGTAAAGACAGTTGATCAAAACCTGTGGACACTCTTTGAGTGCAGTGCTTACATATATTGCCTTGCCAAGACTGCTGGGTGTCACTGAAATACTTATCTCTTCAAACATCTTTTCCTTGGACTTGTGGCTAGTACAACTTGTCAGCTTGTTCAGATAGAGTACAGGAAAGTAGTATATCATGATGTGCTGATTAAGTTAGTCTTTAAGTATTTTGCTTTGACAAAATAACTTGTTATGACCTCTGAGTTGCAGTTTTGGGGTGAACAAGTTTTAAATAGAAGAGGTAAAGAAAATAGAAGAGGTAAAACTTTGAAGGAGAAGAGAAGGTAATGTTGGATTCTCTGTGAGAGATTACGTAGCCTTTGAGAATGTGTAGTGAGCAGTTTGTTTTAGAACTAACTTGCATTGTATTTTAGGGCTTTTTAAAACTTGAATTTTAAAATCTGGTAGGCATAATTCAGGAGAGGTTTTGTTTCTTAATTTTTCATTCTGTTGGTCTTTACCAACATGCTACAGAGTAACCTGTAGAAATTGTTGTCCTGTTAGTACTTTATCTTCAGTTTCTTCATCTGTGTTTGAATTTTGTATTTGAAGTCAAGGGTTCACCTTCACATGTATCCTCTATCTTGATGAAGGAGCCCTAACCATCAGTGAGATGCTGTACTACAAATACACTTGAACCTCGTGGAAGGAGGTGGTCTTTGTAAACAAACAAAATAAAAGGAGGAAGATTCTTATATCTGAAACAGTGTCTAAATGTCACACATGTCTGTTTCCTGCTTGATGTGATATCAGCTGAATATAAAAAAGGAATAAGAATAGTTTTGATGATGGAGCACTGCTATTTTTTTCCTCAGTACCATTAAACAGGCTTCTAGGTCATGACAAAGAAATTGATGAAGCTGGGATAGAATGTTCTTGGTGTTACTTTCTGGAATAAAATCTTTTGTTCTTCACTGAAATTTGTATACACCAGTCTCTAGAAATGCATGTAGAAAAGAACTCTTAACAAATAAATAGCTTCTTACATAGCCAACTCCACAGTAGCTCCATAGAAGTTGACCTACTACTGTAATTCAAGGTCTGGGTTTTTTTTTGCAAGTGATGTAAATTCCTGGCAGAGAGGAAGATATGGAAAATGACAGGAATTAGGTTTGGTGTTACAGGGGCTGCAAAGCAAGATTATATGATAGTTGTGCTGCAATAGGCAGATACCTTACTACAGTTAGGAGCCAAATAGGGATCACTTCTGTACTACCCTCTCCACAAGGCTGAAATTAGGGCAGCAGCATAAAAAGGATGTAGGTCAGACTTTTGAGCCAGCCTTAAAAGTAACCTGAGATACTATCATAGCTTCTGGGGAGAGGTGTAGTAGAGTTGAGTCCTAACATAGTTTAAGTCAAAATAATTAAAAAAAAAAATAAGGATTCATGAGCTTCTACAGTACAGCTTAAAACCAAGTTCACCTTCATAGTGGTGGCTGTTTCTGCCCCATTGCAGTTTCCTTGTCTTCCTTGTCAGTGCATTCTTCGTTCCTGAACCCCTTTGGACCAAGTTTGCACTTAGTGTGTGTATAGCATTATAAGAACCCAGCTAGTTACAGAATGGTAAAAGTTCTGAGCTAATTAGAGGGCTATTTATAAAGTATCAGTGCTTTTCTGATATTCTAGTTGTCTGAATTTGATCTTTTCAGGATTTGCCATGCAGTGCACAGCTAGTCTAGGTTATAGAGCCTGTTAATATCTGAAGAATCAGCTGGAATGTTTTCTTATTAGCAGCTGTTACTGAAGCACAAAATCCAGAACGTACTTGTGCAGAACGCTGATCTCTGGTCTTACAGTGACCATTTTTAGTTAAAATTTAATTTGATGTTTAATGCCACTCTTTTTACTGTACATGGAGGTAAGCAAAGGTTATGCAGTGGAAGAGGGAACTCAGACTGTGCTTTGAGACCAATACTCTAACCAAATCATTTACAGAGCTTATGTCTTACTGCAGAGTAGTCAAAATTGATTTTATGGCGGAAGAAGTTGGAAGGGGCATGTAAGAGGGGATGTAGTAGAATGTTCTGAAAATTGAAGTTTTACAGAAGGTGGTCCAGAGATGTCATTTCACAGGGGAGGGGAAGACAGACCTAGTTCTCTGAAGTGTGTTATGTTACTAATATGCCTCTTAACTTTTACATATTCTCTTGACTTCATACAGAGAAAAAATTTTTTTTCAGCCCTCTTGTGGTTATGACCCCACAATACTTCTGCCCAATACCTACTTTTACCCTCTCTCTAAGCTTCCTCCCAGTTTTGCTTAGCAGTCCAGGAAGACTGGATTTTACAAAGTAGAAAGGAGAGATTATTTAACTGTCTAGGCAGCACGTGGTCCTCAAATAGATGGTTACTGTCTCTGCACAGTCACAGCTACCTCTTTCTGAGTGTCCCCCAGCAGTCTGCTTCTCTGCTAGTACCTCTGTTTTGTGTCTACAGCAGCCCTAACCTGCCCTGCACTGTGGTTAAGCTAGCAGTGTTCACTTTTATGCATGAAGACTTTTGGATTCCAAGATGATGCTGCTGCTGCGGTCCTCTGGAAAAACTGACCTTCTTAGGCACTAATGAATTTTTTTTTTTTCCCTGGGGTTTATTTCTTGTGCTTTTGGTGCTTCCTTTTACCAATTTGCTGGATTACTACCATAAACATTTACAGTACTGTTTGAAGTCTTTATAAACAACATTCTGAGCTAAAGTGAGTATTTCCTACATATATATGTATGCATAAGTTATTTGATGGTTAAAAGCATGTATGTTTGTATACAGAAAACAGATCTTTATTATTATACCTCTTTTTGAAGGTGGAAAACTTGCTTATTAGTAACCAAGGGACGGTTAAGCTTTGTGATTTCGGCAGTGCTACAACTATAGCATACTATCCTGACTACAACTGGTCTGCACAAAAGAGAGCACTGGTTGAAGACGAGGTGAGATGATTTTAATGTGACTAATCTTAAAACCAACAGTGGATTCATATAACTTTAATTTGATAATGATTCATGGGACTTGTAAGACAACTGAAGATTGTTTCAGTTGTAGTACTGTTCATAAAGCTTTGATTTGGTATTTGTATTGCCAGAGTTCAAACTGCTGTTACTAGTTGTAGCCTGTGTTCTGTAGCTGCCTATGCAAATGCTGCTTCAGCTTGAGCAGTATCCATTCTGCAATTGGGTGTGAAAATAGAAGTGATTACTAGAGTGTCTAATTGTGTTCGTAAGAGGAAGTCAGATTGGTTATGCCCAAGTGATTTCCACCTTCATCTGTTTTTTCTCAGCTGAATGTTACAGAAGTGGCATGACTGCTCAGCAGAATTTGAGTAGGCAGCATAGTTTAGCCCCTAGACTGCAGAGGAGTTTTCAAGCACACAGCATGTTTTTGCATAGGACATTGGTTCTTAGTTTAGAGTTGAAAGTAATGCTGGTGATCTAATGTCAATCAACTGGACTCAGACTGTGGAGAAATACAGTGATGCTTAGAATTTGTGTGCAACTTCTGTTATCATCAGTTTCTGTAAACCCCTGTGTTTTGCAATCCAGCATCAATGAAAAGCAATCCACTGGAGAAGAAAAGGTGATGTACCACTGTCTTTTGTAGTCCATGCAAAAAGATGGTAGAACAGGTCTCTTCAGGGTTCCTTGGGAACATAGCTGAACTCTTTGAATGTGTCTGCGCTGTCATTAAGTGTGATAAGGAAGTGAGAAAAACATGCTGGAGCAAGAATTCACTTATTTCTGTATTTGTGTCCATATACCTTTTTGCCTCATGTGCAACAGACATTTAACTTTGTGTTTTGTAGTATAGAAGGACTCTTAAATATCACAATGTTATTTGAGGCCTACCATCTTTATCTGCCCTTATGTCAAAGCTGTTGTGACTGTTGCAAGATTCAGTTGACTACTTCTGCCTTGACAAGTATTCCTGAGGTTAATTTTCGAAGTGAGAATGTTACCCATTCTACCTGGAGAACTGTTTCCTTGGTTAAATGCTGTTAGAGCTTATTATTCAACTTTGTTTCAAGAAGTTCTGTCTTCTGCAGATCACAAGGAATACAACACCAATGTACAGGACACCAGAAATGATAGACTTGTACTCAAATTTTCCAATTGGTGAAAAACAGGACATTTGGGTAAGAAATTGTTCTCTTGCTGTGTTATAGCTAGTTATGTCATAGTGAATCTGATTTTGCAGTCTTCACGTTGATTTGTTGATTAAATTGATAAAAAAATCAAACACAGGATAGACTGTCTTACCAAAATAAATACTAAATAATATGAACTGTATAAATAGTATAAACTGTATCTAAATAGTAAAAGAATGAGATGTAGTATTCAAGATTTTTTTTCTCAGATTTAGCATGGTTTCCACTGTTGGGGACAATGCTGAACTTTTGACATTGAGTGGAAATGTTGCCAGCATCGAGCCAGAATACGTACAGTCCTTAGATTCAAATTCTTGCCTGTCATGCTTTGTCATGCCTGTAATCCTGGGACAGCCTATTGCTGAGTTCATAATGGTTATGCCTAGGTGTTGGATCTAGATAAAATAATACTGACAGCAAGGATTAGAACAGTGGAGAGATCATTAATGCTTTGTATAGAAAGGAGGATAAACTTTTCATATTCACAAAAAAAATCTGTAGCCAGAATTAAAGGTCTCAGTGGTACTTTTCTCAGGTGTGTAATACTGTAATAGTACTTGGGTACGGCTTGGTGACTTTGTTTACGGACTTAGTTTGTTGGATGGCTTTTACAAAGACAGGCATGAAGCTGTTCAGCTGTTACCTGTATTGGCAGTGAGTCAAAAGACATTCACAAAATATAATACTACTACTTCAAAAGTTTTTGACATCTCAGAACTTCGTTGTCTCTTAAATTCATTAGAAGATACTGTGGAAACTCTTACTCCTCTTCTACAGCTGTTGGCCATTTTCTTCTGGCATGTGAAGAGATACCAAAAAACCCCATCTTTCTGACCATTTGGTCACTTGGCATGCATTACGTACTGGCAGCCTGTGCCAGGATGACGTCCAGCTATACGCAAAGCTAGAAATGCATTTAACAAAAGCTTCACTCAAAAGGCAGTTGCAATTTATTTTTTAGAGTTACTCTGTGTTTGTTAGTATCAGCATGGTGGTTGTCTCCTGCTGTGCTTTGGAAGATCTGTTGGAACATGTTGTTTGTATTTTTTTTTTTTTCCTTTACACTCTGTATTCAATGATTCTGTGGTTGCTCAGAGAGGTGGTGGAGGCCCCATCCCTGGATACATTCAGGATCAGGCTAGATGAAACTCTGAGTAGCTTGACCTAGTTGAAGTCCCTGCTTATGTTGGGGGGGGTTTGACTAGATGACCCTTGGAGGTCCCTTCCAGCCCGGACGTTCTATGATTCTATGAAAACACACAATGTATTTGGGAATAGTGTGTGGTTCTGTCTCAGGAAGCATCTCTGGTCTTGTTCTCTGTGGTTAGAATAAAGAATTGCCCAATGGAAGCAGGTGGGGTGAGTCACATGCATGGTTGCAGTCTGTGTGATTGTCACTGTGTGAGAGCTTAAAAGCATAGAGGATATAGAAATGTATTATTTAAAACAGCATCATAGATTATATATTAGTTATCAACTGTATAGAATCCACAATGGGAATGTGATCAGATTGTAGGACCAGAGGTCCTTAAGGTTAGCAAACTGCTTCATGTATGTTTCCTACCTAAGTCTAGAGATCCTCAGAAAATAGACAGTAAACCCAAATACCTTTAGTTCCATTTTTGCCAAAGTCATGTGATTTCCTGAATGGAAATTCAACTGAATAATACTGAAATAACAAGCTTTACCTTATAAAGATTTTTCTCCCCTGAAATCATCTTTTGGCTTGGAATTCCCTTCATACATTCCCACTCTTACAAATTCTGAAAAAGCAAGAGTGGGCTTTGGAATGTGTGTTATGGAGCAAAATTTAAAAGTTGGGTTCTCATTACCAATATCTGGTTAAAAAAAAAAAAATTCTAGTCAGTGCAAGACATCTTTCAGGTCTTAATTCTGTGTAAGCTGAATGATTTCTTTAGATCCTACATAGTTTAATTCTACTCAGCAAGTACTTTGGTATAGTACCTGTTATCCTGCAGCTATACTGTAAAACTTTTAATACTTTTAAGTGTGCTGCTTATGGCCTGAAGCTGGTCAGTGGAAAAATACCAGTCTTTTCATTTGTTTCAAAAAATCCTCCCTTCCAAACACTACCATTGCCACCCAAAACCCCACTGTCCCCTTCAGAAAAGGTTAAGTTAGCTGCTGGTAAAGGCCCAGTGACAGATCAAGAAGTTGTTCCTAGTACTTTTCGGTTGCTTTGTCATGGTGCTTTTGTACCTGCTGGCATGTGAGTGCTCAGCCTGACCCGAGGCAGCCTCTGTAAAGGGACTGTCTCACCCAGTGATTTGGCATTCTTTGAGTATTCCTCCCTTAGGGCAGTTTTTAAGCTGTTTTCTTCCTTTTCTTCCTCTGGTTGCTGTTCTAGGTTATTGGTTGTCCTTTGCAAAATTTGCACCAAGTTTTCAAGGGATTCCATTATTTGTTTTTCATTATTACACTGCTTAAGGTGATCTTGAACTGCTGTGAGCAGGCTGGCTCCTAGCACAGCACTGATGACCATTCTGCCTTTACCAGGTCGCTGTAAAGAGGTTTCTTGGTCTGTTACACTCTGCAAGCTTGTCCAATCATATAGAGCCAAATTTTCCCCAGGTGGGGAGGGTCTATCCCCCTGCTTTGCCCAGAGTGCATGAAATGAGTCTCGATCTTTCATTATGAGAGGGTCTGGATCAGCCTTTTTGGCCATTCTTTTATGAAGAGACCAAACCAGCTTTGGGGGGGCTGAATTTAAGTTACACACACACACACACAGTTTCTTCTGTCGCCCTTCTCTTCTGTGTGTGATGGAAGGGACCAAAATCTACTACAGGGAGGCTCAGCTTAGTTTCTACAGGGCTGTCCCTTCACTTCCCTGAGCAGACAAGTCTCGTTTATATGAGAACAGTTCCCCCTTTTGCACTAGGAAATCTTCTGTTAAATCTCGATGGAGAGAGCCCTCAACTTGAGTGTGGAGTGCACTATTTCTAGGTGTGTGGTGTGTGGAGATTTCAAATTGCCCCCCCTTGCTTTCTGGACACCTCTCACCCTCTTGGGGTGTAGGGCCAGGTGTGGCTGGGATGGAATGTCCTTCCCCTGTTACAGACCACCTGCACCCCTCTCTCTCAGGATCCTGTCCATGATGCCAATTTTAATGTCACTGCCTGCTCCACTCAGCAGACATGTGATGGTTTGCTTGCTGAGATCCTGAAGTGCAAAAGGCCAAAGAGGGGTTTTACTCCAATCAAATAGTGGAACTTTATTGTTTGCCAGTGAAGTGGCGTGCCATAGGTAAAAGAGTGACAGAAAAGGTAAAGAGGAGAGAGAGAGAGAGAGAGAGAGAGAGAGAGAGAGCTACCACTGCAGGTCCAAGGTGTTCCTATGGTCTCAGGTCCAGGCAGTATACTGCTGGGCCTTCTGATTGTCATGATCCTCAGCAGGGAAAGCTTCCAAATTCAGTTGCTAAGAAGCCATCTTTATGCTAGATGATGAACCTTGCTCGTCCTCTGTCCCGTGGACTCCTGCCAATCTTTGCCTTTCTCAAGCAAGGCTTCCATGTGTGTCCACAGGGCAGTCTCCAAGGCGTGGTCCGCCTTAGAGGTGTGTAGCTTTTGACCAGGAGGTGTGGTTTTGTATTATAATGATATTATAATGAGCAGAGTTCACCCAAAGTTCGTGACTTTTTCATCAATGCTGAGACAATTGTGACCAATCTTCCTTGACAGCAGCTGTGCCATGTAACTTTGCAGCTCTGGCTCCTCCAGGTAGCAGAGGATGGCACAGTACAGTTCACCTCACAGCACAGGCACAGTACGCTTTGTGCCACGCGGTTCTGGGTCCATCCCGGGGTGTCGCACCTTTTTATCCGTAGGAACTGCATTCCGTTCTTGGGATGAGTTTCTGCGTCTCAGGCAGGCTGCTGCAGACTCTTGCCAGGATGTCAGCCCAAGTTCAGATACCTTATTGTCCAGGTTTCCCATGACAAGGTTGAGGCAATACTCTTCTTCTGACTGATGCTTACACTGGGACTTTGAGCAGCCTGGGCTAGTGGATGTTGTCCATACCCCATGGCAGTGGGTTCTGAACTAGTTGATCTTTAAGGTACCTTCCAACACAAACCATTCTGTGATTCCATGGTTTCAGAAAGACTGGAATGGGAGAATGCCTGAAGCTGAAAACCTCCATGAAAGTGAGGAACCCTCACAAGCTTATTTAGTAGCAGTATTGCTGCTTGAAGCTGTGTAGTTGACATGACTAACAAGTTAATGTTTCACTAAGTGTTCTGTCCTCAAAAACATCAAAACTAATTACTTCTAAAGGAGTGTGAAACTGATCTCTAAAGCACTAGGAATATATACAGGGTTGCATGAGTCAGCGGTTGATGATTGAAACCTATTTGCAAGCAGTATGAGAGCTTAATTTCATAGTCAAAAATTCTGCTTTAAATATCATCGCCTGAATTAAAGATTGCACAAACAAGAATCAGCCAGTGGGTTCATGAATCAGAAAATCTGTTTATAATCTTCTTTTCATTCTGGGATAAGATTTACACAAAGAAAGTGGGTGTTACAGAGCTTCTTTTGTCCAGCTTTTGACCTTCCAGCTTTCTGTAGGACTTTCACAGGATACATAAGGTGTAGAGATACAGGATAAGGTGTTTCTTTTTCCCTGGGCCACTATTCTTGTATGAAATTTCAGCACTGTTTTGCTTGGTGGCAGAGGACAGCAGTGTACCATGATCTGCTTGTGTCCCTGTCCGGGGCTTCAGCTCTCAATGACAGGAGACCCACCAACTGAAGTAGCTGCTGAACTCTGCTGCTGTGGGCACCCCTGGCTTTCCCTGCCTGGGGGTCTCCTAGCCTTACAGCAAGTCTGTCTATTCTCCTGCCTCCCTGGTGGGAGACACCCATCCTGGGCCAAAAATGCTGGCAACCACCAGTATTCTGCCTATGGATGTGGCCACTCTGTCACTAGGGCTAGTGCCAGAAGCTCAGTCCTAGGGTACCCAGTGAAAAAGGGCATAGAACTCCCGTTGCCTGTGGCTTTGAGAAGATTCCTATAAGACCAGCATGAGGTAAAGGTTGATGTTATCTTATTTCTCCTGTAGACTGTTGGCAACATACCAGCTTGGTGGCAGAGGAGGTAGAGGACAGGAATGTGCTGTGGTACTGAATGTATGTAGTACAGAACAGCTGCTCTCCATCACCATGGGCAGCCTCTGTGCCCTCCCTTCCATGCTGTCAGCTTGGACAGGCACAGCCCTTTTTATACCCATCCTGGGCTAGTGGTGTTATCAGCTGCCACTGCCAATGTTCTGACTGTTGTGACAGTATCACAACATCTGTGTACTGTTTGCAGGGTAAAAATTTGGCTGGATGGCTGGGCCCAAAGAGTGGTGCTGAATGGAGTTAAATCCAGCTGCAGCCGATCACAAGTGGTGTTCCCCAGGCTCAGTTCTGGGGCCTGTTCTGTTTAATATCTTTATCAGTGATCTGGATCAGGGGATTGAGGGCACCCTCAATAAGTTTGCAGGTGACATGAAGTTAAGTGAGTGTGTTGATCTGCTTGAAGGTAGAGAGGCTCTACAGAGGGATCTGGACAGGCTGTGTCAATGCGCCAAGACCAATGGTGTGAGGTTCAACAAGAGCAAGTGCCAGGTCCTGCACCTTGGTGACAGCAGCCCCATCCAATGCTGAAGGCTTGAGGATGAGTGACTGGAAAACTGCCCATGGGAAAGGACCTGTGGGTATTGGTGAACAGGTGCCTTGGAACATGAACCAGCAGTGTGTTCAGGTGGCCCAGAAGGCCAACAGCATCCTAGCATCCTGGCTTGTATTAGAAATAGTGTGGCCAGCAGGAGTAAGGAAGTGATTGTATCCCTGTGATCAGCACTGGTGAGACTGCATCATGACCACTGTGTCCAGTTTTGGGCCTCTTTCTACAAGAAGGATGCTGAGGTGCTGGAATGTTTCCACAAAACAGGCAGCAGAGGTGAGGGGCTAGAGAACAAATCTTGTGAGGAGCAGCTGAAGGAACAGGAGTTGTTTAGCCTGAAGAAAAGGAGGCTAGGGGTAGACCTCACCACTCCACAACTACCTGAGAGGAGGTGGTTGCAAGATGAACGCCAGTCTCTTCTCCCAAGTAACAAGTGATAGGAGGAAAGGAAATCACCTCAAGTTGTTCAAGGGGATGTTTAACTCGGGTATTAGGAAAAGCGTCTCCACTGAGAGGGTTATCAAGCATTGGAACGGGCTGCCCAGGGCGGTGGTGGAGTCATTATTCCTGGAGATACTTCTGAGATGTGTGAATATGATCTTTAGTGACACTGTTTATTTGTGGACTTGGTAGCGTTAGGTTAATAGTTGGACTCAATCTTAATGTTTTTTTCCAACCTAAATCATTCTACGAGTCTATGAAACATTTCTGCCTTTCTCTCTGTGTAGGCTCTGGGCTGTATCCTGTACTTGCTGTGCTTTAGGCAGCATCCATTTGAAGACGGAGCTAAACTTCGCATAGTCAACGGGAAGTACGTCATCCCCCAAAATGACACTCGCTATTCTGTGTTTCACGATCTCATCCGTAAGTTTACAATGTCATTCCATTTGGTGCCTTTATGTACAAATACTATTATTGACAGTGTTGTGTTACTGGTAGGTAAATGTTATTGATATGATGGTGAAAAAGGTTAACTGTCGCAACTTCTTGTTCTTACTAAAAATTGAATCTATTATCAAAACTCCTGGAAATCTTAAATGAAACATTTGGGGTTTGGTGCTGTTGTCTGTTGTGCTTAGGACATGGGAGCTAGTCCATAGGAGCAACCAGTGTTTTGATTTAATTTCCTTGAATTTGCTTTAGAAACTCAATTTTCTTTAACTTTCAAGTAGATTACTGGAAGGTTTAATTATAGTGCCAGAAATGTCTCCAGCTCCAACAGCATTAGATGTAAAGTTACTTCTGAGATCATTCATCAACTGATCCTAAAATAGATTCTTTGAAATTTTCTTAACCTTAAATCATAGTTTTTTCATGGATACCTCTTATGATAGTGATACTTGGATGATAGGTATTTAGCAATTGCTCCACTCTGTTTGTGTTTGATTGCTTATTGCAATGGAGTGCAGTAAAGTGGAAATAATTGATACCTGCTGGGAGAAAAGATCTGGAGAGTTGCTGTTCCATTGTCTGAATCTCCTTTTTTAGGCTCCACTTTGAAGGTGAACCCAGAGGAGAGATTGTCAATTACTGAAGTTGTGAATCAACTGCAGGAGATTGCAGCAGCTAGGAATGTGAATCCTAAATCCCCCATCACAGAGGTAAAGATATCTCATAAGAAGGATTGATTAGGTCTCCTTTCTCTCCTCTTATCCATAGAGTGTGAGAGCTAGTCCCCTATTCCTTAGTCTTTTGGAAGCTTCACAGTAACTTGTTTTAAATGTCAGTTGACTTGATCTGTATCACTGGTCATGATGTTGAGGGAAACCAATTGTACTTCTTACTGCTTGTTGGAAAACTTATTATCTTGAGTAATTTTGTATTATTCAAGTGCTCTGTTTGACATGCTGCATTTAGTCGTGATTAACTTATACAGAAGGAACATAGCATGCAGAGGCTCTGCCTACACTAACTTGAAACCCACTGAGGTATATTCTGTTTGATGCTTTGTTTGCACAATATGACAAGTAAATCAGTTGGTGTATCTTCCTGGTTCTCTCCTGAGATTCATCTTGCTTGTTGTCACCAAGTAAAAGTAATTTACAAAGCATAACAAGTTGGCTAAATTGGCAAGAAAATACTCATAGTGAGTATTGATCTCCTCAGCTCCTGGAACAAAATGGAGGCTATGGAAACAATGCTCAGCCCCGGACATCTGTGACCTCTGTTTCACAGAGCTCCAAGCCTGCAGGACAGCTCAACAATATGTACAATGCAGGTGAGTGTCCAAAGACATTGTTCTAGTGTAAAAACAATTGAATATGCCTATCTTTTGGGGTCTTTAGCCATTTAGCACATGTACTAGCTATTTTGTGTTTACATCACTGTTTCTAACGTGGTTTCACTTTTCAGAGAGTTTGGTTGTATATTGATACACCCAAATATGTATTTCCCAAGTTCATTGCTAGGCAAGACAAATTTTGATTTCCTGTGTAAAACAATTGAAACTAAAATGCATTGTTGACCTGTGGAAGTGGGAGAATTAAGTGAACTAAAACTTGTGAAAGTGATGTATACAATAAGCAATAATGTTCTTAAGATCTGTAATGAAGGTAGTATTCAGGTTATGACAAGTGAATAAAAATGGTTTATTTTAAGAACAAAACTTTGATTCAAGGAGATGATGATATTTGAAAGCGACCTGTCAAACATCTTCTCAGGAAGTGCTGTATTTTAACTGAAACTTTGTTACTTTGTGGCAGAAGCTACTGAAATCAGTATATATCCTGAGCTTGTGCAGAACTTTGGATCTTTGGTGTAAGGACATGACAGTTGTATTTGCTTTCCAAGAAAAACTACTTAATATCAAATATGTTACCACTTAAAAAGGTAGAAGCCATTCTGTGGCTTTTGGTATAACTTTATGCTAAAATGGGCTTGGTGTCTAACAGCTGAGGTAGTCAATACAGAAACGCAGAAGCAATTGAAGTGATTTTGATTATGGACCTCGGTAATTCATTAATGCTAAAGAGTCACTGACCTGTCATGTATTTGAGCCTGTGAAAAGCCTGTACGAGAAAACGATATTTCCATAAGCACCTGGGGTCCACCACTCTGTCCTCTTTACACCCAAAAAAGGCTGACCTTTTGTGATACCTTGAAGTGCATCTGACAGAGTGAGACTCATGTCTGACAGCCTTAAAAGGGAAAAAGCAGCAGCCTAAATGCACTTTATTTGCTATCCAGTCAGAACTTCCAGAAGCAGACATAGGTGGTACTGCCTTGAGCCTAGCTAGCTACTTACGGGAGGGTTGTGCAGAGAGGGCTTCAGGAGGTGACTGCACCACAGAACATCCATGATGAGGAGGAGGAGTTGTGGTTCCATCGAAGCAAAGCCAGTTGTTGGACTACCAGTACTAAACTGAGTCAACAAAAACACATCTCCAAAGTGACACAATGAAAGCTGATATACCCATTTTGTAAAAATAGCTATTCAAGAGTTCATTCAGTGGAAAATACTTGCACTTAATATAGTAAAGAAAATAAGAAGCTTGAAAGGTTTATTTGCATCCAATTTCCTATTAAATGCGACTTCTGCCCCCATTTCTTTCATATATATTATGTGAATATGGAACATTTCAATTAATGTAGAAGATATCAAGGCAATATTTTGTACTGTATTCAATTTTTCCTTCTACCTTGGTATTTCTTGCTTCATAGTACTTACGCTGGATTGCCAATGAGACAGAGATATTAATGTTCCAGAGAAAGCTTTAAAACTGGGTAATATTTATTGCAGCAATGTTATATGAATATCAATTTCTGTGGGAAAATCCAGCATCCTGGCAGGATTACAATCAAAGGCTGTCTGGCCATCTGTTTTGTGCAAGAATGAGTATTCTTTGTTGTATGCTACCATATTAACAGGCATGTTGTGCTTAAAAAGTAGCTTGGTTATAACAGCTGCTTTCAAAGCCCTGCATTAAAATATCTCTACTAGGGAAGCTTAAGAAGATTTGCTAACCATAAGCTACACTTTAAGACACTGATACTAAAAAAAAGACAGTATTTTTCTGCACAGGAAATATGAAATAAGTGCTTTATTTTCAGAGTTTTTTTTGCCTTGTTTTCTCTTAAATGCAAACAGTCAATTACACACTGTCTTAAGTAGCCTGCTGGTACCTCCTGACTGCAGGGTGTACTGATTTTTTGCATAGGTCGTAATTATGGGGAACTTTTGAACTCTGAGCATTACAGCAAGGCATAGCCTGTGTATGTGCATTCACGTCCAGCTTTGTAGGCAACTTGCTTTAGTGTGGAGCCCATTCCAGGATATGACTTAAAGTACAATTATTTTTATCCGACTACTCTAGGCCTGACCGTTGCGGAATGTGACCAGACTTATGGAGGGTTCTTTGATATTCTGAGGGGTGGAACAGAGCGATTTTTCACTAATATTAAGGATACATCTTCTAAAGTTATCCAGTCTGTGGCCAAGTGAGTAAAAAATAAAATAAAATACAATTGTGCTGGTAAGAGTTCTAAATGAAGGGTCAGGAGCTTATGTCAGAAATTATCAAATTCATGATATGGATATAAAAGTGACTAGAACTGAGAATGTTGGGGGCAAAAGCTTGCCCATAAGTACTAGTTTCCCTGCTGTATTTTAGATATTGAAAGCTTGGAAGAGATGAGCAGGTGTGGGCTCTGGAAGCAGGGCAGAGAAGTGTGGAATAGGACTATAGTGGTTTGTAATGAAGTACTTGAATTAGTACATAGGGCCTCCATGAATAAGACAGGAAGGAAAAAAAAAATGGAATGGTGAAAGATGCAAATAAAGGGACTGGAGATGAGACTAAAAACTGGGAAAGGAGTGTATGAGCTCTTCTGGCAAGTTTAGTTTTCAGATGGAATCCTACACCCTCAAGGCAAGTGAGAGGATCTGCATCGTTTGTGTCCTTTGCCTTGCATTACATGGAAGAATACACTCCTGTTTTGATGTATGTGTTCTGAGATACCTTGTATATGATTATTTTCTTTCTAATCAGGTTTCAGGTCTCATTCCGAATGTTTCTAGTACCTCCGTATGATCAGTAATAATGATTTTGATATGTTTTTAACTCATAATAAAATTCTGTGCAGTGTGAAAGTTTTTTCTTAGTTCTAGGAAGAGCAGGTAAGTCACTACAGAATCTATGACTGAACTAGAGCCTCCTGAGGAACACTGAACCTTGTCCCTTGACCCCACAGGGCTTGTGGCCCTTTAATTAGGATACTGCACTGTGTCTTCTGAAGTCTATTGCTTGCAACATATTGTTGTAATTGAATGTAATCTGTGCATAGTGCTGCTCTAACATGTTGATGATGATCAGATCTTGCACCTCTGTAGCCACCTCAAGTGGATTTTTATCTTTTTGCGCTAAACTTAGTCTGTTTAAATTTCCTATACATGATGTAGAAAGGCCAGGTCCTGTGTTTTTTTTAAAGGTCTCAAGAGATAGGCAGCTTTGGCTTGTCCTTAAGCTTTCTACAGAAGCAGTTGACAGAGCAGCATCAAACTTTTCACTTTAGGGAAGCTGCACAGACTCAAGAAGACAGGGAGATGTACAAGAGGAACAAACTGCTGCGTGATGAAAAGTGGTGACTTATTAGGAGCTTAGCAGAACTGTAGGAATTCCATGCATGAAATAACACAAGCTACAATTTGGAAGCAGCTGCTCTTATTTCTTTTGCATTTACTGTCTTCGAGATTTCTATTCTTTATCTCCTTATACCTGCTCCTTTCTGTGGAACTGATCTTCCTCTCCCCTCTTCTTCAGTCCTGCTTCTGTTCCTTTTGTGTTCTATTGCTAAATAAAATGTACTTTTTGGTAAAACATGGAAATTTTCTACAGATTCCTTGCTTTTGTCAACTCTGCTATTTATAAAATTGAAGGTACTTAATTCCTTGACTTAAATTCTGCCACTTTTCCTTAGACTTAAGTCTTGCAGTGAAGAAATTACTTTTCTTCCTTTGTGACAGGTAACACTTAAATTCTCCCCTACCTTAAAGTTATACACCCTACTTTCCCATGCCTGTGTTCCTGTTTTAATTTTACTCTGATACTATATTTTGATTGTACACTACATGCTTCTAAAGTACTCCTGTAGTTCACTTTTTGTACTGTAGTCTCCACGTGACTTTATGGATTGTTGTGCACCCATCAGTCAGTTACATTTGATGAAGTTTCCTATTCCTGCTCTTGCAAGTGGTTGCTTTCTTACAGTCCACTGGAATTTTAATTACTTTTAAAATTTCATCCGGTGCCATTTTCCCCTTTTCTAGTGGTAGATTAGGACTGTCTAAAATTCACTTTTTAATATGGAATGGCTTATGCTGTGCCTGCACCTCATTTTTATTTCTCTTGCCTAATGGATGTGTGTGGCTTTTTGTTTTGTGTGATTTCCTTTGGTTCCATAATAAATATAGAGTGCATGGGATCAAACAGTAACTGGACATCCAGCTGCATCTGCACAGCTCATCTGGCAGGCTGTGAAGTGAAGGACAGTGAGTGCTTGCTGTCTGAAGTTGTGCTGTTCAGTTCACGTGCACTTCTCTTCAGTTGTTTGCTTAAGTAATGGTGACTGGCCAAAATAAATCTTGCATCTGTCTTATTCTTAGAGTTACTATGCTACTTCTGAACTATTAGTGTTCTCTGGCTGAGCTATATGCTTGGCACTTTTGTCAAAACAGGGTTTCTAACTAAAATGGGAAAGTATGATTGAGATGGAACTTAAGGCTCTCAAGTCCTGCAGAGCCCCATGGCAGATCACGTATGCCTTAAATTTATGTGCATATGAGAAACTGTTAGAATCCTCTAAGTTGCTTGGTACCTTACTTGGCATGACTGTTTATTTTCTGGTACTGTTTGAGCCTCTGTCAGCAATGTGCCTGCTGATGGAGACATCTTGGTGCATGTCTGTGGAACTACTCAATATTAGTCAAAGAAAAGCTCATTACTCTTACGTCTTGTTTGTATTAATTACAGCAAGTTGCATGTGGGTATTTACTAGAATTGAGTAGCTTGTGAATGTATTTGACATGGTTTTGGTTAGTGGCTCTTAATGGGTGGGTATATTGTAATGTACAAACTAGATCATTGAGCTGAAGGCCTCTTCCAGCTAATGAGAGGTACAGCACTTCTTGGGCTGTGATGGATTGTCAAGCAGTGTATGTTAAGTCCCAAGATCATAATGAGATCAGTTCCTCACACATGTGTTGTACCAGGCTGACTGAATGTGGCTTTATATCTAGGTGCATTGTGCACATCACTTCTGTTGACAGAGCATGTGAGACTGTCAGATTTTTGTTTAAACTCTGCACTAACATAAATTTTGGGTTTGTGGAGGACTCCGTCTTCATACAACTGCCATTTTGTTTTCTTGTGTTAATCTAAGTGAACTTGGTCATAGGGTTGGGAAGTGAAAAAAAAATGCACCAAGTACATAATTATCCTAGTGAAAACCAGTTACTTCACTATTTGTTTTCCAGATATTTAATCAATACTGAAATAGAAACTCTCTCCACAAGACTCCGTAGTGGCACTTAGTTCTGTAATTTTTGTTCCTTGATAAGTCTGTCATGTGTGTTTGGATCTTAGAAGTATTTAACAGTTCAATGGAATGACAAAACATGAATTAGCTGAAACAGTTCTTAATGTTATGCAGCACCTCAGGTTCTTTAGCATTTAACATTCTTGGTGTTTAAAATAAAATGGTGAAAGTCCTGCCACTGGGCTTGTGCATTCTTAAAATATTTAGGCTTTAACCATGCAGAAGGGTTAATTCTTTGTTGGCACCTACCGTAGGACATACCTGTTTCTGTTGTGGTCATTCTCTGCCTTTACAAACCTGTTTTATGGCTATAGCCAGTACTATCAGGGATCATAGAATCATAGAGGTTGGAAGGGACCTTGAAAGATCATCTAGTCCAACCCCCCTGCCAGAGCAGGGTCACCTAGAGTACATCACACAGGAAGGCGTCCAGGTGGGTTTTGAATGTCTCCAGTGAAGGAGACTCCACAACCTCGTGAGAATAGCTCTTCTACTGTTGCATCCTTGACTGCCTTTCCAAAATGCTGCAGTGAACGCGAGCAGCAGACATTCTGGACAAACTGAAATGGCACTTCCTTGCCCTGCATTTTCCTCACCACACTTAAGTGCTTGTCCCGGTTGGAGTTAGAACAGAACTAGCTCTGTTCACCTATTTGTACATTTCAGCTATGTCTCTTCAAAGTAGCTGCATTTTCTGAAGTTAACATATTTTTTGCAGACAGTGTCTGCTTCTAGAATAGGTAACACTTGGTAGCTACTGCTATGGATTGGTGTGCAAGAAGACTGTTGTTTACACTTGCTCCTGTGCAGACCAAGG